ACACGCCGTGGGAGAGGGCCGTGAGCACGCGCGGTGCCCTTCTCCCGCCGCCCGTACTTACATGGCCGAAGGGGTCGAGGTGGTTGTTGGTGAGTTTGAGCTTCTGGAAGGAAACCAGCTGCCTCATCCAGTGGGCGCCGGTGGCCGGGGAGTCGGGGTGCACGTACAGCCGCCCGGGCATGGCCGGCTCTGCCTTCCCCGTCACCGACCTGCGTGGGGACAGAGGCGCTGAGCTCCGGGCGTGGGGGGGCCGTCCCGTGGGCTCCTGAACCCCTTCCATCCCCCGCAGTGGGGTCCCTCCCGTGGGCTCCTGCTCCCCCATCCATCCCCCCCGGTGGGGTCCCTCCCACTCAGGTATCCCCGTACGTGGAGGCAGCGCGGTGCCAGGCGGTCACGCCGTGCTTGGGGAGAAAAGGCATTTACAAACTTTGCTCGGGGAATTAGTTGAGCTCTTTGGCACGTTTCCGGTCGGAGATGGCTCTCGCTGTTCCCCCGTTTAACCCCATCCTTCCCCCCCTCCTTAATTACCGGCACCCAAGCCAGGAGCAAAGGACGGACCGTGTACCGATCTTTAAAGATTTTCCTGCCCGGAGATATTCCCTTATATAATATCATTAAACTATCGGCTCCACCATAGCCGATAACCTCATCGTCAAACAGGATTACAGTTATCGTTAGCTAATTGCGACAGATTTTTCTCCTTTTTTTTGGATGCATTTCTCTCCCAAGGGCTGTGGAAGCATCCCGAGAGGCTCAGGTGAAGCCTCTGCAGCCCAACATCTCTCCTTTGCAGGGGAAAAAGAAGGATGAGACGCTGATTCAAGGGTATCCCCCAACCTGTGCTGCCCAGGTTTGGCCAGCCCAGAGAGTCCGACACAAAGCTCCCCTCGCTCCCCTTTCCCCCACGCGTGCATACCATTTATTATCTGCAAATTTGTATCTGTGGTCATCCGCTGGTACAATATCCATCAACAGTATGTACTTGGTTTTTGGATTGAGTCCAGTGACCTTCACTTTGTAACTGGGGAACATACGCCTATAAAATAAATTTTTAAAAAAGTACATAAATATAAAAGTGGAGAAAAGAAAGTTTTCCAGGGTCGTTTCGTGTGTGTGTTTGCGAGGAGGAGACGGGGGAGGCGGGTGTCATTTAACAAATGGGCAACGCCACGCTCTCGGATGGACCTTCCCAAAAGGCTCGGGCAGAGGACGGGTGCATCCTTCCCCTGGGGTGTGGGAGATGTTTGGGTGCCGCTGGGTACCCCTCCGTGTCCCAGCTGAGGTGAAACAGGCGATTTATCAAGGCAGAATCGTAATTATGAGGCTGGCGCACTTATTTATTCACCTACTGGTGTGCCTGCTCTCTGTTCGTATTTTTATTATTATTTGTTTCGCCAAGACTTTGACTCTCCCTTCTTTGAACAAATCTGGTTGTGAGAACTTTTGGAAGCAAGTTACTTCCCTTTGTACATAAACCATTGGAACAGGAGGGGAGATTTGCCAAACCAAAAAAAAAAAAAAAAAAAAAAAAAAAAAAGCAAATACATATCTATATTTATAGAAATACAGATATATAAAATACATATATTTCAGCCACACCTATGTGTATCAACGGTTCTATGTACAGATATGAAAAAAAACCCTCCACGCACTCAGGTGTGACACCAAATCTGTGTGCAGCCGTACGGGCGTACAGAGACATCAGCAAACACACCTGACAAATACTTGGAAGCACTCGGATACACACAGAAGACAGGGGCTTTTCGAAATATTTTCCATTACTGCAAGGCAGGGACTTAAAACACTGATGTTATTTTAGTTAGAGCTTTCCAAATATTTAAAAATAAAGCAGATGAAAATGTATCCCTGGACTTAAAATACTCATAAACAAAAACCCCACACCTCTAAAAATACGGCACTCTTCTCTGAGGCTCGGGCTCTTATCGCTGCGATGGGGCATCGGGGCTGGGTTTTAATTCAGTTGTAAAAAGCCGGAGGGGTGGGGGGAAAGCTACCAACGAAGAAAGCAGGGATTTAACTTTAACGTTTTAAGGGAGAAGAAACCAAATTCCACCTGAAGAATGATCTGTAACTCCATCGAAAACACCTGACCGGCAAGAACACGGACTTCTCCAACAATAAACATGGGGAATTATATAAATAAGGAAACCTATCCCCTATCTCCCCTAAAGCCCCTGCACTGTAAATGTCTATTTTATTGCTCTCCAGATGAGATTTCTGTCCACTGCGATATTTGTTTGAAATTTCTGCAAGGTGGTTTATGTCTCCCTTTCAAATGTTCTCATTCCACGTTAGAAAAGGCTGGTGTTTGTTTTTTTTTTTTTTTTTTTCCCTCTGTGAACTCGGGTTTTTGGGGAGGTCCCTCCGCTCCCCCAGCCCCGAGCGGGGCCAGCGTCCAGCCCGTGTCCCGGCATCGGGCTGCGGGGCTCGGCAGGGGGCCCCCCCCCCCCCGCCGCCTTTTTTTGACAGTTCCCCCCATGCACCCGCACCGCCCCCCCCCAGATTTGTACCACGTCCCTTGGACACAAGACCCTTCTTTAAAACCATTTTTTCCAGCAGCAGCGAGGTTCAAGGGGAAGGCGAGCCCTAAGACAGATCTATTCACTAACACTTTATACAATCAGCTCCATTTTTTTTTTTTCTTCCTCTTCAGGCAAATTTTGGAAGACCACAACAAATGCCAGATGACAGAGCAAAATGAAAGTTTGACTCTGCGTTGTTTATTGTGCCCTTGCAGTCTAAAGCTACTACTATTTCTACGCGTGGAGGGGTTTTCCCCCCGCCCTTCCTCCGAGGATTTTAAGTTAAAATCGCAACGAAAAGAGCCTCTCTCGGGCTGCCCCCAGTTTGCCGATGGGGCTGGAGAGACTGTTTTACTGGGTATCGCTGGCTTTAGGCACTCTCCAATTTAATAGTCCTCCAACATATTAATATTAAAGATAATGTTCAATCGCCTCAAACGCGCTCAAATATACACGCGTACGCGTCTAAGTATCTGTGGCTCAGGTTTCCTAAGCCGGTCATGGAATCGATTACGCGCAGTCTCAATAAAGTTGGATTTGCAAGGCTGTATATTTTTCTACACACCCACGCAGACAAACACACACATATAGAAGTGTGTATCTGGACGCAGTTAGATCCTCAAGCTATTTATTTGCGGACACGTCTATCTATGCATCTAAACAGCTTTGCTATCAGTATGTAAACAGTAGCTTAAGACCACATATACTTTTAAATGGGGTGGCGTGGGTGTTCTGGATATATTCGCCTCAGTGTGCGCAAAATAAATAAGAAACTTCTGTAAACAGCGTAAGGCATTGCGAAATCGCAGAAGGGCCGAGCTGCTCCTTTAATTAAAAATAATTGTAATAATAATAACGAAATCGCCCAGCAAGCTGCTCTAAACAAGGTTAGCTTTTGGCCAAGTGGTTGCAACTCGCGTTCGCCTGGAAAGCTTCCAAAGGCCTGAAATTGGGATTAACGATCCAACTGTTCTGGTTAAGAAAGGAGCCAGAAGAAACAATTTCTTCTGAATATATCCTCGCAGGGAGGGCTCTCCGCACGCCCGGCTCC